AACCGGGGCACCCCCCGCAGCGCCGGCGGGAGCTTCCCTTGGGAAACGCTCCCGCGTTGGCGTCGGAACGCGGGGAAAGCCGAGAGGCGACGGCGCTGCCTCGAGGGATCAGGGCGATCGCTGGCTCCGCTCCATCCTGGTTATCCAGGTCCAGCCGGGCAGCCTATGGGTTCCCGCGTGCCGACGTCCTCGCGGCGCGGACGGAAAGCCCACCTCGTGGTTTCCAGCCTGCCCGAGCAGCCCTCACCCCCCTATTTCACCCCCAGCATCAAACCAGCTCCCTCTACTCCCGCAAAACCAGAAAAGTGACAGAGAAAGCGGAAGAAATCAAAAACAAACAAACAAAGCAACCACTAATTGCTCCATGGAGGAAGGGCTCCATGCAAGCCACGAGGAGGTCTCGCGGGGCTCTCCCAGCACCGGGACGCGGCCGTCCCTCCCGCTTCCCTGCGGCACCGAGAGACCGAACGGGAGAGCGCGGGGCCGGCTCGCCGCTCGTCCGAACCCCAGCACCTTCCAAAGAAATCACCGGCTGCGCGCGGTCTAATGATAATAATAAAAGCTGCCGAGTGTAAAGGAAACTGCAGGCGCGAAGGCGAGGGGAGCCCCGCGACAAGGCGAGCGGAGCGCGGCCTTGAACCCCCTCCCGCTCACAGGGGCGCTCGAATCGGGCCCACAAGGAAACCAGTCCCCCCAGTGTCCGAGCGGGGCCGTCCTGTCCCCCCCMGACCCGAACTGGGAGGCTGCTCACACGCTGCGAACGGCGCAGGGAAGGCAGRGTCTTTGGTCCCGCGTTTTGGGGCTCCCTTGCAAGGGCCCCCCGGCACCGATGCCCCCTCYCGGGCCCGGGGACCCCGATGCAAGGAGGGGCGCCCGGGATGGTGCCCCGGGATGTCCCTCCCRGTCGGTGCCCGCACAGGGGGAAGCGGCTCCCAAATCCGAATTGGGGAGGGGGGTGTCGGGGGTAACGCAAGGCCCGGCTGCCACCCCGGCTGCCGGGAATCCGGCACGGGGCGGGAACGGGGACGGATCGGGGTGCGGGGGGATGGAGCGGGGCGGCCGGGGCCGGGAGGACGCGGGCACTGATCCGGTCCCGTCCACCCGGGGCACCGGCCGCGAGGGGAGGGGCCCTGCCGGGCAGAACCACTCCGGTACCGGGGGGAGGGGGGAGCCGTTGG